TCATATTTCTTTGGTGCACTAAATTTTATACAACAACAAAATTTATGAAATATTCTTTGATCTTAGTTATAAATTGCCTCAGCAGTTTCTTTTGTTTTTCAATTTTTTTTTGTTTTTTTTAACCCTGCACTTGCATTTTACGTGTTTTCGGGTCCTGGTCGCGAGTACTTCCTTCCCCCTGTTTCCTTTTCTCGAAGGCTGGAAACGAAGCTGTTCCCCCCTTACCCCCTCCTCGCCCCCTGCTCGGCTCAACAATGAAAAGGCTATACACACACAACACACCATCACCTGGGGTGCGTGGCGCGGCGCTGCTGGGCGGCATTGTTTTGGATCCTCGCGGCCACTCCCGCCGGGGTTCCCACACACGTGCCTCCCCCCCCCCTCTCCCCGACACACACAGCCTTGGATGGGCTGGCCGGGCTCGCGTTGCGTAGGGCAGTCCGCCAACGAGACCCCCTGCTCCTGCCCCGGGCGGGGCCGCCGTACGCAGCGGCCAGGGATGCTCAGCGAGTTAATTGCTCTTGTTATTCAATGCCGAGGGCCAAGGCGAGGAGCAGAGGACTTCCCTGTTGCTCTGTCGCGCCAACTGCTTGCCCTCGCGTTTTAACCACACAATTATTAAAATTCTGTTGGATTTTGCTTTGGAAATCTGCCTGCCGTCACGCCGGGAGCCGTGACCGAGGGGCACTACGTCACTCCAAAAAAATCCGTAAAAAAAATATCAGAACCATCAAAGAAACATCCACAACAAAAGAAAAAAATCAGAAAAAATCATAGTAACATCAAGAAAAACAGAAAAATGGATGTCCTCTTTGTTATTGACTTTATGGCGAGGTACCTCTCGGTCGCGCCTACGTTTGACAAGACGTTAGTCGCGTGTATCGTCCCTATGCAGAGATGAAGACGGCCGCGGGGTCGTTCCCCGCTTACTTAAGACGACCCAACGCCAACACGTGCGTGTGAGCGGTACGATGTCGTTCCTGGAGCGCCTGCGCGCGCCGCCGCGTCGCGCCGCCGGCACAAAGGGCGATGATTTGCTGCAGAGCGCCTCCGCTGCCGCCGCCGCTGCCGCCGTCGGGTCGAGCCGGGCCCGCCGCCGCCGGCACAAAGGGCGATGATTTGCTGCAGAGCGCCTC